CACAGCTCACAGCAACCTCCAACTCCTGGGCTCAAGCGAGTCTCCTGCCTCAGCCTCCCAAGTAGCTGGGACCACAGGCACTAGCCACAATACCTGGCTGTTTTTTGGTTGCAGCCGTCGTCGTTTTGGCGGGCCGGGCTGAATTCAAACCTGCCACCTTAGGTGTATGTGGCTGGCGCCTTAGCCACTTGAGCCACAGGCTCCGAGCCAATGCCTTATCTTTCAATGAGACAAATTTAGATTATATTAACTTGGGTAAACCAAGGTTCTTGGTTAGAACCTTTTGAATTCAAATTTATTTTCCCGTCCTGATTTTTTCTATAAAATATGCTTCTTTCCTTCCAAAACGAATGTTTCTACTTTAGAACAGATTTGCATACTGGTTACTAGAAAAGTAGTTTGGATGAGCATTACATACAGGATGGAAATAAGACCAGGGAACCTACTGTGAAAATGTGGTGACGGTATTTCTGGCCTGTGTATTTATATAACACTAGTTTTTGGCTGGCCAATATCTTAAAATCTTTATATAATTTTATCCCAAAATGTAACAACCTAACACAAATGTTATTTTCTTTCAAACACTGTCAACACTATGTTATATAGGTAATAAAATCCTAAAGCTTACAAGATATAGTATGTAAACTTACACGCTCAGTAAAATGCACATAATGGTTTCAATACTTTTCTTTAAACACTTAAGTTTACCTTCCAGCCATGTATAGAATGATTCTCCTAAAAAAAAAAGAGGCACAGAAAATTGGGTTAAAATATTTTACGTGGTCATTTGTACAATAAATTAGGTCTATAAAATATTTTTTACTTTGACAGATTAAGTAATACTTCTAGATATGTTTACTTCAGGTGAAGTGCAGCCTGTTTTTTTTTGTTTTTTTTTTCATTTTGGTTGGGGCTGGGTTTGAACCCGCCACCTCCGGCATATGGAGCTGGTGCCCTACCTCTTTGAGCCACAGGCACCGCCCATAATTTAAGTAACTTTAAGGGTATTGTTCTTAGAAATGACATTTTGACTATTAAAATTCATGAGAGAACAATTCATCCAAAATACTTTGTAAATCTTATTAACTGAAGGTTTAAATATCTCAAAGCATGGTGGCAAAGAATTTATCTTAAATTTGCTTTTCTTTTTTTGAGACGGAGCCTCAAGCTATCCCCCTGGGTAGAGTGCCATGGCATCACGCTCACAGCAACCTCCAACTCCTGGGCTCAAGCGA